GTTGAGGGAGGAGCCTGTTTGGAGAGAAACCCCGAGGTCTGGGTTTGGGAAAGCTGCCTCTGAGGTATTTAGTAGACGTCCAAGTGGAGGCGTTGTGAGGGCAGTTGGGTATGTGTGTCTGGAGCTCACGGGAGGGGCCCCGCCTAGAGAAATGACTGGATAAGTGTGGGATGACTGCGCTTCCAGAACCCCGGCCGCTGGGCTGGGCCGTGTCTGGGTCTGACCCCTGCGTGCTGCGTGGAAACAGTGTGGGCCGCTTCCTCCTGCGTCACAGAGCCTGACGGGGATTCAGCTGCTCTGCTCGCCTGCACCCCGGCCACGGGCAGGACAAGCTGAGCCCCTAGAGATGCGCGATGGACCTGGGCCCTGAGCAAGGCAGAAACCTTGTTTCTTTCATCACTTTGGTTTTGGAGTTTTTGCTACTGCAGCTAACCTCAGCCCACCCCAACTGACGTGTGCATGTAGACACAGACTCAGTTGCTCATGGTCAAATGGCAGTGTCTGGAATCAGGAGTGGAGAATTAGGTATTCTAGCGAGTATTTTACAGACAGTTTGGGCTGAGAAATACTTTCATTTTCCAAACTGAAACGGAGAGAAGTTAACTGGAAGTTAAGAAAGTTGGTCTTTAAAAGAAAAATGCCTATTTTCCTAGCAGCGTTGGAATGGCTGATTTATAAGATTCTCGAATGCTCAGTGCCTTCTGATTGCCTTGCTCACCAGCATCCTCCCAGGACTCATATCCACACTCACACCCATATTCACAACCACATCCGTCCGTCTACCTACCTGCCTGCCTGCCTGCCTGGTGTCGCCGTCTCCCCCCACGGAAACTGTCCTGCCGAGCCTGGTGCTGCCCGGGCCCGGAATGCCTGCAAAGGGAAGCTGGGGCTCAGCCCCGTGCAGGAAGCTAGCAGCAGGTCAGAATTCCCTGAGTCAGCGAGGCCCCGCACACCTTCCGATTCTGCCTGGAAAATCCCAAGAGCAAAGCCATACGTGGGAGGGTGTGCTGGTGGGGAACCCCAGAGGGAAGCACTGCACGAAGGAAGCCCCCCACCCGGGACTCCTCGGACTGCTGCCAATCACCCGGGCCTCCAACAAAACCCCGAAGCATGGGCGCTCTGCTGCAGGGGGCCTGAGACGGGTCCGGGCTCCCTCCCCAAAGGTGGAGACGGTGTTAATCGCTAACCTTGGGTGGGCGCACCTGTTCTCTGCTCACGCGTTCACAGGAGCCCTGTGAGAAGGCTGCCCTGCGTCACGTGGGTGCCAGGAGGCCGAGGGCTGAGACCGCCATGCTGGGATCTCCCTTTGCCCCGCCCTTCCTTCCTCCTAACCTGAGGTGCCCTGTTTGGTTCTCAACGCAGAGGTAAGCTGTTATGAAGGTTTATTTTGGCCTCTGCATACAGTATTTTAAAAAAACTAACCATAACCTCCCTCCCTTTTTCTAAAGTAAATATTTTGGGGTGAAGCTAGCATCGCCTGCCCCTTTCCCCCGTGCGTTCAGCAGATGCAGGCGGTGTTTGGGACAATGGCGGAGCCAGCCGGCACCTGCGGAACCCCGTCTCAGGGCTGGGTGTTTTCACACTGTGTCCCACCTGGTCCTCACGGTCACCCTGGGAGATAATTATTATTGCTTTTAGCAGGTGGAGGACAGGGCTGGGGTGTGGGCAGCCTGCTGCACATCTCACAACGGGCAAAGACAGAGCCAGGATCCAACCTGGCTGAATCTGACTCACAGATATACATTGTGTGGGATGATGGGGCTCGAGAAAGCAGAAATCAGGGATCCCAGAGACGTAATTCCATGTATTCTGGGACAGCCCTGGGGACACTGAGACCATTGGGTCTGGGTCTGAAAGTCTCCACACTTACTTGTCGTACACCCAGCATTACACTTAGGGAGTCCAATCTGCAGCATGTTTCTTAAAAAGCAGCAACTTGTTTCCTTCCCCGGCTCCCGGCCTATCGCGTGAAAACAAACCAAAAAACTTCCCATATGACAGGAGCCCTCTGGTGGGCTTCCAGCGATAGCGAACTCAAGCATATCATCAGAGCCTTCCCAACACCCCTTCCTTGCTCTCCCTCTGCCCCAGGGCATTTGCACTTGCCAGGTGGGACAGCCTGCTGTAACCACTCAGCCGCGGCCAACACAGAGCCCTGCCACTCACCACCAATTAGCCTTGTTTCCAGTATAAACAGCGCTACCTGGGAGAAAAAGACAGCTGCCCAAAGCAGCCAGACTGTTCACCCCTCCCCGCAGCCCCCACACAGGTGAGAGGTGCTGGGCTTCTCTGTCCTGCCGGAAGCACAGGTGGGGTTCTTTTTTTTTTTTTTTT